TAGTTCATTGTTCTCCATACATTTTTAAAAATAAAATCCAAATTTACATTTTAATAAAATTATTTGTGGACCCAAAAGATACCTCTCACGGTCCCCTGGGGGTCCAGGGACCCAAGTTTGAGAACCTCTGGCTTAGATTGTGCTAGTATCCAGTTTCCAGCTTTAATTTATGATCTTTCTCTTAAATCCATCAGGGTTGCATTCAAAGACCTTTAATACTAGACCAGATAATAATAAAATATAGAGAAAATATGCATGTTCAGTTGTAGTTTGTATTAAATTTGATATAAACTAAACTCAAAGTGGTCCACCTGACCACCAGTTGAAAATCACAGTTGTAGCGCGAGTTTTCAGATCTGGACATGTTTTATTAGTGAGCCAAGGGGAAGAAATGGCTCTTTGGATTGTAAAGGATGCAGACCCTCGATCTAAACAAACAGGACAAATCTGTGCTCAAAACACACAAAGTCAACAACTTTTTATTCAAACAAAACTTTGTTTAGCTTCATGTTCAAACAGGAAGTGGTGTGATTGTCCTTTATAAACTTAAATGCAGTAAATGCACTTTTATTTTTACCAACATGAAACTGTGGTGAAAATATGCAGTTGTTAGCATTTATTTACTTGTTGCTTTGGTGCTTTGGTTGTTTTTAATTTATGTAGTAGTTGTTGTTTAAGGTGGCAATTATTACAGTAAAAATTAAAATAGTCAATTTATCGTCTTGCCAGTGGTAAAAGTATTGCATGCACTTGTTGTGAATCAGGTAATTGTACCTGCTGCTGAAATATTGGCTGCTTTAAGTTGTTTCATTTTAGCCTTCTTCGTCTGATGTGTTTTAAACTGACTCATCTCTTTCTGTTTTCTCTCCAGAACGCAGCCAAACAAGCGGCAGCAGCTGCCACTCAGACTATAGCTGCTGCCCAGAATGCTGCTTCTTCCAACAAGAACCAGGCTGCCCAGCAGCAGCTTGTGCAGAGCTGCAAGGTAAACCATCCGTACAACACTAGTCATTCTTTAAAGTGACTCTTAACAGCATTTTTATGACTAAAATAATAAAAATAAACTATCTTCACACAGGTCAAAATTGAAATTTAAGCTAGTTTTGTTAGAACCTCCTTGTTGCTGACATGTAGAGACATCTTATGAAGGTTCGGTGCTCATGTTAAAGCGATCAGCTACTCTTAAGAAATGAAGGGCGTTGTTGCACGATTCAAACAAAAGATCTCAAACCTGCCAACTGTCTGCCTCAACAAATCCAGACCAAGATTAGACAGATGCAAAATAAAAATAAAAAACTTTCTAGAAAACAACGAGTCTTGCCAGAACTTGCCAGTAACGAGCTGTGGTGTTTGGAGGTTGTGTCAAATGTGAAGCGTTGTTTAAAACCGCCTCACGAAAGGTTCAGAGCTATCATCTCCAATTTGTTTATAAAAAGGCCCTTTCCAAACACTGGTGTCATTTGTGATGCTTCACAGAGCAGAAGCATCATGTAAAAGGAAACAAAAAAATTAAATATAGCCTGACATCAGAACATCTGACTGGAAGCTAAAACTGAACAGGAAGTGGTGCTTTTCAGCTGATTAACCTCACTGATCAAAGCCCACCTGAGACCTGTTGAAATGCTGCAAAAAATACAATTATACACTGCAAAAAATGTCCACCTAACCAAGTTTTAAAATCTTATATCAGCCAAAAAGTCTTTTTG